TGGTCATCGTGACAGAGCATTTTTGTCAGCCTTTTCTTAAGCACTAGAACAAAACAGGCTCTCCTGTAGGCCATCTGCATTTATTTTCCTGGATAAAGCTTCTAGCTTTAGAGAACTGTAAAAAGATAGAGGGAAACATCATCATCATTCTTATTTGGCTGAAGGTGATGACATTGACATGAGGTCATCTGACAGGGAACTAAAGTGGAAAATATTGGTGTTAATCCATTAGGAACAAGAGGACCCCTTTGAGAAAAAGAATTTAGGTGCAAACCACAAAAAAATGAAAGCTGTGTTTCTGGGTTTTTCTTTTTCTTTCTTTCTTTTTTGGTTGTTAGACTGTTCTCATCCCTGCTGTAGTTTGCCAATACTGGGTTTCGTGTGTAGGTTGGGAGGAAAGCTAGTGCTATTCCCAGGTAGAGGCTTCAGCTGGGATGCTGCTCCTCATGTCACCCGGTCACCTCTTTGGAAAGGACAACTGGTTGTTCTGTAGGATCTGAAATCTTCTCCAGTATATTCCAGTCCGCCCTGTTCTCATCAAATTTGACCACCAGTGCCACGGATGGTTGTTTGCTGCCCCGTTCAAGGTGGGTCAGTGGACTTCGTGCTGTTGTTTGTACACAGATGTTCATGTTTCTCTCAGTCCTGGGATTAACAATTGCATCCTCTGACAGTCTCTTTTGAGCTGCTGGCAGTAGGTCTGCATAACCTTTTACTCACAGAGGCCTGTGGCACACAGGAGCAGAAAACATAGTCAATCACTGTATCTCATTTTGCAATGAAGATGGAGAGGGGACAAAATGAAGTCAAGGGGAGGTGGGAAATGAAATAAGGCTTCAAATATTTCCTTTAAAAATACTTTCTCTTCCCCCTTGTTTAAGTTTTAGTTTTCAGTCTCTTAACAACTCGTAGGGTTCCATGTACTCCACAGCCTTAATTTTTGTCCTATTTTTAATTGGTTTTGGGGTTGTTTTTTTTTTTCATACTAAAGCATTTTGGTGTGAGAGCTGGTATGGATTATTCCCCTGCTATGCTAATACACAGCAGCAAACTTGGCTTCCAAATGCACACCTGTATTTCTTGTGGGATATGTGGAAAACAGTGAGAAGGAGCACACAGTACTGCCTGTCTGATGATGTACGTCCTGAAGTCTAGGACTGACAATGGAGGAGTAGCGTGTTCAAACTAAAACTCCAGGATTTATTTTACTTGCCTTTTGGGGGGGTTTAGTGGTGGTTTGAGTTGGTTTGATGTTTTCTGGGGGGAGGAGCGTGTTTGAACAATAGGTTTCATATCCAATAAATAAACAATAGGTTTTCTTTGAAGCCACCACAGAGAGTTGAAGCTTTTGTTTTCAGTGTGAAACCTGAGATTCTCTTCAATTTGCTTTGTGGTAGGAACTGGAATACTTTAAGTAAATGTCAAATAAAAGGAAGCTTATGCTTTAAGCCATGAGAATTTGGCAAGATTGGCTGTGTGTACTGATACGACAATGCCATAGTCCATTTCCAATGGTTTCCAGGAATCTGGTAAGTTAGCAATAATGAGTCAAAGCTGTCTTTATATCTACGGATGAGGTGTGTATCACATGGTGGAAATCATGACTGACATCTCAGCTTCCAGCTCATGGGTTGTATCTGCAAGCCATTCATGTGAGGGGAGAATCACTGTGGGATGAGCAGGACCCTGACATGTAGGTACTGCCAACATCAGGCAGTTTTCAGTTACAGGAGCTCTTCAGGCACAAGCGGTTTTACCTCTCTGCTTAGCAGCTTTATTTGAGGAGAAAAGCCCTTGGGTTTCACTCTGACAGGGTGCCTGCTCTCAGTTTAGAGTATGCTGTTTGGCCTTAAAGCCTGCTCATCCTCCCTTCTCAGAGGGAACATGTTGATACTTACTGGAAGCATGAGGATCTCAAAATTCCTGCTTCAGTATGTGATGCCTTTGAGACCATCAAAACGTGGTGGGCTCTCGGGGTAGCCATCGCATGTTAATTGAAGAGGGTTTTCTAACATCTCTGCTCATTGTTCTGTGCTTTTTGACAATTCTTCTGAGTATAGTTTTAAAACTCCTTCATATTAAATTAAGCGTATTCCTTCCCGCTGACTTTTCTTGGAATCTGCGTGGTATGTGTTGTGTGAATGTATGTGACCATATGTGCTTTTTACCATTCCTTTTTAAGCTCTGGCAGTAGCTGCTCAAGCTGGGTAGTACCCTCAGCTTCTAAAGTGCAAATCCCCTTAATAAAGCAAGCAGTTTAAGAAAACCCCTACCGTTTCTATCCCACAGTGTATGCTGGTCAGCTAGGGCTTGTAAATTCTGTACACACAGATTATATCTCCACCAAAGTGGGTCTGCAAATGGCTTGGTGGGCACCTGCATTTTCTGTTGCATTTCAGTGTGTGATGCTCAAGTTCTTTTAAGAAGTTAGGGGCTGAAATTTTGCCTCAAGCTCCTGTAGACAGCTTCTATGATCCCAACACCCCTATGAGATTGTGCTCACTTGCAAATAAAGAAGGTGGGTTTTACCTAGCAACAAGCTTTGTGGTTTCTACCTAAGGATCAAACCCACAAGTGCATTTGTTCAGTCCTTTGTGTCACGTTGGTACTGAAGGTTTTGACAGTCAAATAATTGCTGACATTTCTGTTGATGTACAAGGAAGAGAATAACCCAGTATGTTTTTCCATAGCAGTGCTGTCGCTGCAGGACTGGCAGTAGTAAAAAGTTCCTTCACCACTGAATAACCAGATATCCTGGAAGCAGGCGTATTTCCAATCAAAACGTCTCACTCCTAATGGCTATTTTCTGACTGGTTCCTTTTTGCTATTTATGCTCTCCCTGAAGTATTTTATAGAAACCTGAGTCCCTTTGAAAACCCACCCAAACAACCAGAAGTGTATTTTACGTATTATAGTATGTAAATGATTAGTCATCACTTGTAAATTGCCTAATGGAGGAGGAGGAGGAAATTTATCTTGAGGGAAGGTGAAGAGCTTAACTGTGACTGCTTCATGTCTCCGTTCTTCCTGCCTGCTTTTTTTTCCTTTTGCCCCTCTGTAAGGTAATTATAAAAGATTTATAAAGAAAATCATCGTAAGAAGCACTGTCCTTGTGGGTCTGGAAAGTGGTCGCTGCACCCTGTAAGCTGCTGTTCCACTTACTTATGCTTTCTTGGGGAAATTTATGGAGGGTTTTTTTGTTTTAATTTAAGATTCAGTGGTGGCCTTGTACATTGTCAATGAAAAATGAGGTTGCCATCAGAGATCTTAAGTGTAGAAATATGGGGAACTCAGTTTATGAAGAAATATGTCTTTGGTAAAGCATGATAAGATTATGTTAAGCATCTGTGGCACAAGACCATAAATGCTGTTTATTGGAGTCTTGGCAGATCTCTTATCTTGCTGGAAATAATACCCTTTGATTGATCGGTGTGTTTTTGCTTTGTTCTGTTTGTTTGCCTTGTGAATAGTTAATTCACAGGACATAGTAACACTGAAGAACCCTGAAATAATATTTTTGTGTCCTGATTTTGGTACAGATACCTATTTCCTAGTTTAGAAGGGTTTTGGTCACAAAGGTCTGTCCCCTGGCTGTCTTTTTCCGGGTCAACCTGTAATGCACTGTGTTCCGTTGGGGTTTTTGGTTTGTGGTTGGTTTTGGTTGGTTGACTTCTGCCTACACCCCTTTTTAGAAGCGTAAGGGAAAGGGTTAATAAGAGATGGTTATGATGGAAGTTTTTCTTTTGATCAGAGGTTCATTTTTTCTCTTTCCTCTTTGTGTATTGGTTCCATGAAATACATTTGCTTAGGCATCATTTTCCATGTTGTTCCTCCACTCCCATCATGATCCTATGTTTGTCAATGAGATAATATTTCTGAAAACGTCCTTTGAGAAATACCAGGAAGTGAGTGGAAGGCTTCACATGTATTACTCTGTATACATTAGTAAGTGGTTTGAGGGAAAGAAATACTTTTATGTATGTAAATGTGACGGGTGGCAGTGGTGAGTTATCGAACTGCCTGCTGGGCTCCTCTGTGTGCCTGAGCTCCTGAGAGAGAGTGGTTTGTGGAAGACTGAATTCCTTTTCTGGTGCATGAAATTCAGCTTTTCCAGGGTGGTGAGTTCCAGTGTGCTGCCGTGTCCCGTACAGCAATTATAACTGCATGGGGTGGAAAACGTGCCTCAGAAACAAGGAGTCAAATGTTAGAGTGAGACAGTTTTCAGTCTTGGGTCCGTGTCGTGTCCTTCCCTCAAGTAGGAGGATACATATTTCCTCCTGTTTGCTGGTTTTGTGTATTTGCACTAATTGCTTCAACTGTGATTCATGTGCAAGCCTTCAAGAGAGGTGCCTGCTGGATTGAAGCAGTTCGGCACACAGCCATGGCTTGTAAATGAGTCCAACTCATCCCAAAATGCTCCTTTCCTGTCAGATCAGCTGCTCAGCTGGCAAACGCAATCTGATGAGAAGCATCAATTGCATTGCTGAGGCAACTCTTCCCTCAGGTTTATTTTCCAAACCGTAGCCTGGAGCTTTTTCCTCCTCAGACAGTGCCGTAAAAGAAAGATTTTTCTGGTGGCCATTTCTTGGGGAGTATTATTTCTTCTTTCTCGTCCTCCCATTCTGGATCATTCCAACTTCTATTCGGCTTCTGAAAGGAACATCTTGATTCACTACCACAGCAAAGCAGGTCACTTTCTAAAAGCACCCACCCAGCTTCTTTTTCAATAGTGTTTGGCTATTGAAATTCTAACTGGAGCAGAAGCCATGGTTAAGAAGCAAGCAAGTCCTTTTTCCTCAAACCCTCATTGATTTCTGTTGAAACAAACAGATGAGCTTATATATAAATATGTATAAATGCTTTTTTTAATGAAAAGTGTTGGAATTCACTAAAAAAGGTTAAAATTGAAGTGAGTAATCTTCAGTGCATAATGCAATTCTTAATTTTAGCTCCTTGCGTAGGAGCTGTTATGACTTGAACAGCCGGCTCTAGCCTTCATTAGAGAAGAAGCAGGCAGTTTTGAGACAGGTGGAGCTGGATCAAGCTGTGAAAGTGATTTGCTTGAAGCTGGTCATTAGTGTTAGAAATCTGGTCCTTTCTATTGCATCCTTACCTTGTGCCATGATTGTTACCATTGTTACTTACTTTCCATCTTTTTCCAGGTTGACTATGATCCGTCAAACTCTCTGAAGGACCAGCATGGAGATTGGCACTCTGAACTGTTAATGGGGACATGGGACTCACGTTGTCATTGATCACTTGTGTGGACTTAACCAGCGAAGAGCAACAGAAGACAATAGGAAGACAGTGGGAATTATAGCAGACTTTCAGGTAAATGGCTTCTTTGGTGCAGCTGATAAGTGTAATTGGTTTTGTGAAGCCTGTGTAAGCATGTAGATGAGGGGTGGGGTGAAGAACTTGTGCATCCGTGTGCGTTTCCTGGTGGAAATCAGTAACAAAGGAAGGGTTATTTATTTAACAGACAAGGTTCAGGTAGTGCCATTCATGAATTCTTTGCAAAGCCGTTCAAGTCTCAGCTGTGACTGCAGAGTAGCCAATGCCATGGGACTTCCTGGGGAGGGCGGTGGGAGGAGGAGGACCACTTGAAGCTTGACTTGGCTTGCTGTGAGCTTAGGAGTTTGGCTGGTTTATTTACGAACCATGTAACTTAATTTCTTGTGAAATTCACGATCCATCTCAACTGGAAAGATGATGTAGGAAAGGTTTTATTGTTGTATTTGGTTACGATGCCAAAGCAAGAGCAAAAACTGGAAGATGGGAGTTTTTGAAACTCGGTATGTCTTATTTTACTTTACTTAAAACATCACTTAAAAATGAAGGTGATATCAGACCTGTTGAATGTTAATTACAAGCTGTAAAAAGAAACATGGCCGAGTGTGGTTTTGTTTCACAGCCGCTGTTTCATTGCTGAGAAGCAGCAAGGAACTGCAAAAGACCCTTTATGAAATAACTCCCTCTCCAACTGCAGGTTTTTTTCCTGAAGATACTGCTTAAGCCAAATGGATGGGGAAAGAAAAGTTAAATAATTCATGAGTCTTGCTTGACAATTGATCAGTGGGGGAGGCTTCAACAGGGAGCTGGGGGAGAGAAAGAGAGAGAAAATAATAATAGGCTTTAACTTTGAAAAGCCTTTAAAGCTTCTGTACAACAACCCATTGTGAGCTGAGAGTAAATGCAGTTCCGTGAAGATATCTTCATTAGAAATACCTGCCAAGGGCTTCCTGTAGGATTTTCATAGTACTGGAGAGTAACGTGGGGCTTGGGAAGAGGCTTAGGATTTTAATAATGGAGCTGTCAATTTGATGCCTGAAAGCGTTGACTCTGAGAGCTTTATTGCCAAATTTAGATTTCATATTTATATTGAATTATTACCTCTTCAAACTCCGTATTTTTTTTAACTGGTAGTGAGCACCATGGGCTTCTACACTGTACGAACACCACGTTAGGCAATACTGTCATTTCAGTCCAGCTCTTCAACTGGAACATGTCTATATATCTCTCTTCACTCCTGAGCCGCATGTTTTGGTTTGTTTATCAAAGCAAATGAAATTCCTTGGGAATTAAAGCAGAAATTCACCTCCAGTGTTTTCTCTGTGTGTGTGTTTGTGTCGTGGTATCTTGACCTTTCAGGTCACCAAATCTTGTTGTTTTAATTTCTGTCTGGAAGAATGTCTGAGCAAGGTAAGCTGAATCAGGAGACAGCAGAGGAAGCTGCGAAGGAGCAGGACACTGCCATCTTGGAGGGGAACCCGGACAACTGCATCCTTACCAAATCTGAAAGCTCGGAAGTGGACGAGAAGGAGGAGAAGCTGAGCGATGCCAAGACAGAGCTGCAGGTAAGACAGGAATAGTGAATGGGCACGTCAAGTATCAGGATGTTACCATTGTCTTTCCATTTCTGTGATCTTTCATTGCCTCCAATTCCCCTGGTTATTCTCTCATAATTTTGAGACTCTTAAGTTTTAATTATTTTTGTTAATTTTGGGTTCTTTTCTCTCTCTTTAAATACATACTGTTATTTGTTACACCTTTCGAGCTCTTTAGGCTGCTGTCCATGTTGTTAATTTTTGAGAAGTTAATTGCTAGATGTCTGTGTTAGAGCTTGGTGAAATATTTGACTCTTTTCCCTCTTTGGGGATTCAGAAAACTACCTTGATCTCGTGACTTTACAGGTAATAATAATGAATAATTACTTAATGTGTGGTTTGGTTTGTAGGTGTTACTGCTAACAAAAAGTTGTTATGCAAAGCCTAAGAAGGTAATTTGACAAGGAGACTTTATCAGATGAGGGGGTTTTATTCCTTTTTGCTCAAAAGAATATAAAAATAAAAGGGAAGACTGCAATTTCAGAGGAATTTGGAGAGGGGGAGCATTTACTTAAGTATGCCTTTTCTTACACTTTCATTATCTGCAAAATGACAGAACACTCTGCAGTGTGGCTTTTGCTTGTACCTGTTCTTAAAACGAACAAAGTGAGCAGAGATGATTCTCAGGTTTTCCTGCTTTCCAGACTGGGTTTGGGAGAGTTATTTTTGCAGTCATCAACTGATTAAAGTATTATTTAGGAGTGATTTAGTGTCTGTCTTTGTTGGTAATGCTCTTGTCAGACATATTTTCCACTGAAGTGATAACTGCTTTCTTTTGTCTTTCTTGCTATCCCCAGAAACGAGGTGGAAATCAGAACCAGCAGAAAAAGAGATCCAAGGTAAGGGTCCATCTCTGTTTGGAATTACATGCTTTGGTAGGCTAAAGAATGTCGATCAGATGCCTGCCTGCAGTTGAATGATGGCCTTGCATCATGTGTGTAGTGGTTGGTTTTTTGTGGTTCTTTTCCTTCCTCTCACCCCACAATCTCATTGCACAAAGGACTTCTGCTAGATAAAACATGTCAGGCTCCCCTTTATTTATCCATTGTACAGTTATGCTGCCTGGCTTGTTGTGCACTTGTGTTAGACAGCATGGGATGTGTGTGTATCCACTGGGAAAGGGAAAAGCTTGTTCCTTGTGCTTTAGTGATTAGCGTTTTTGTTTGAATTTAATTTTAATGGACTAATCTTGACATAAAGAAGCAGAGACTGACTAGCTCCCTACGCCGGGCAGGAAGGAGCTTTCAGCAGCAAAAAACCCCTAAAAACCTTCTTTTAGTTTTCCAAGTGTAGATCCGTAAAGCTTGCACATTTTATTGGCCAAGTTCCTTGGATATAATACTACTAGAAGAAGACTGGGGGAGGCCAAGCAAGCAAGCATACAAACTAACCAAAACCCCAATTACAAAAGGAACCTTTAAGTTCAAATAGTGAAGTGCTAAAGCACTGAACGTTAAATTACCTTCAGTATTGGATTATCTGTTCTTTGCTGTTACAGTTTTTGGTGGAAGTGGGTGAACCGTAGCAGAAACTTATTAAAAGCAAAACTGAAACCCACCGCTTCCCGTGTGTGGCAAATGACTTGCTGCTTGGAATCCTTTTCTGTCTGCATCAAAGGCAGATCCAATTTTGTTGGCTCTGTGGGTAGTAGTTATTTGGGGTCTTTAGGGAAGCTGAAGGGTGCAGCTGATGTGACTTGGGGTCAGTCAGTAGCGGTGTTCTCTGGTTTGTTTTCTCTCTCTCTTATTCAGTCAGGAGCTAAAGGAAAGCTTGTCCGGAGCCTTGCTGTGTGTGAAGAGTCATCCCCGCGCCCAGCGGCAGAGAATCTTCATGACAATCAGGTACACTTGCCATCATTGCCCTTAGCTGCATGGTTGACCTCTATGTTCAGTTGCATGATTATGTTACTTAATCGGGCACTTAACAATGTCTGTCTTTGGAGGGGGGGGGTGGAAATTATGTCTGACAGTGAATGTGTTTTGATGAAGTTATCTGGTTTAGCGTGAACTTTATTTTGAAATACTAGTTTTATACCATATCACAGGGTGTTGTTTGCTTTTTTTTCCAGACCCCCTGAAAATTTCAGCAAATGGAAAAGAATTCAAAAGAATTCAGATTCTAAAATTAAAAAAGTAGTAACAATCAGAAAGAATATTAATATGATCTTTTCTCTAAGGCTATCTCTTTCGAGGCTGCACCAGATACAGTTATGAATATGCTCTGGTTTCTGGTTCCTCCGAGACTCCAGTTCATATCAGTGTCCCCCTTCACATAAAATGCGCAGGTGCTTTGCTCTCTGAAATACCTTGGTAGAGCTGAGGATGCCTCCTCCTGAGTGGCATTTGTTCTCTGAACTCTTGGTGTAGGTTTTCCAGTATCAAAAAGCGTGTATATGAGTTTAGTTGTGCTGGTAGTGTTGTATTCCCAGCAGCTGGCAGAGTTCTGTCCCCTGCACCCCTTCCCTCAGACAGTGACACTGGTGGCAGTCTTTGTAGGCCAACTGCAAAAAAATAACCCAAAAAGCAAAAGGAAAAACCTCAAATGCTCTTTGCTTGCCTGGTCAGGGCAAGGATTAAAAGAACCCAAAGCTAACTATTAAGAGCACTGCCTATAATTTATGAGCTGTTTGTGTGCAAATGAGATCAACCATCGAGAGAGCTTGAGCAAGTGACTTCTTGTGAGCTTAGCACAAAAACCAAGTATCACATCTAAGTGTACTTTCTCACTGTTCTTCTATTGACTTGAAATGGAACAAATCCAGCTCTCCTCTTTGCTCAGAAGTATGGAGAGATTTTTGTACTTTTTTAGTTTATTGTTTTTTTTAAAGACCAAAAACCAGGTTGTTTAGCAGGGGGACATGTAGATGTTCTACTGCTCTACAATGATGCTTATGCAGCAGACGGGCAGGTTATTTTATCAGTTGTTCTGTTGTAGGTATCTGCTTTCTGCTCAACTCGCGTTCCTCAAGATGTGTGGCTTTTGTTCTGCTTTTGTTTGTATTTTCTATTGTTTAATGGGGAATGAAAAGGAGAAGAGTATAAAGAGATTGTATTAAGCGGCGCATGGTAGTTTATAATTCAGTTTGGATTTTCTTTCTTTATTTTTTTCATTATTATTTTATCTTAATGGTTTACAAAGCACAGGGAACTGATTACCAGAGAATGTACGGTACATTGCCAGAACGACTGAGTATGGATTGTACTGCAGACTTGATGTTTGTATTTATATTTGAATACTTGCCTTCATTTTCCTGTATAGGGAAAAGACTTGTTTACCTGTATTACTTGATCTTGAACGCTTACCTGATGGTTCACTATGTCCTTACTTAAAAGGAATGTTGCCTTTAATGTTAAACTATTGACCAAGAAGTGTATTATTGCAATTTGAACATTTATTTTGTTGTTCACTATATTTACCTTGTATCAATGTATTTATCAACATTGTATTTTATTATTGAGAAAAAAAAAATCAATAAAAATCTAAGAAAATATATAGTAGCTTTGCTTTCAAGACGCGACAGCCTTTTTGTGTGTTTCATCTAGTGCCAATATACAAGTATTATGTTACATGTAAGACAGTAGCTACTGTATGTTCCTATGTGTGCTTGAATGTAAAGTCTCGTTTTTCCTTTCCTAAGTGCATTTTAACGGGCACTGTCAAGGTTAGGATTAACATCCTGGGAACAGCATGGCCAGTTACATTTTTCTCCTGTTTTGAAAAGCTCTGCTCCGGGCAGTGCGGGAACCGGAGTTATCCTTTGGGGTCTTCTGCCAGGGGTTGATCCAAAGTTTGTTGTTTGAATGAGAAATAGAACTGCCATTTGAAGTGAAAGAAAGCAGGCATAACCTTAGTCCTCTGAGTGCAACCGAGCAGGCTAGCAAACATTGTTCTATGTATCCTGTGATCCTTGCCTCTAATGACCAAGAGGTCACATTTTTTTCTTTCCCTCTGTAGGCTTCGTTTTTTCTAATGCTGTCAGCTAAAACTAACAGGAGTAGGGATTAAGGGCAGTAGGTCAGGCTAAATTTTGGCTCTAGGGCTTTGTTTCTCTTTTACAGTTCTTTTCATCTCAAGTCTTTTGTGCCACATTTGAACTTCTCAAAAGTCAGTTAATGAGAAATGATGAATTTCTGTCTTTCTGTGGCATGTTTATGCTGATCTCGTTCTGTTAGGAGCTTGTCTTCCATGTGTTGTGGTGGCTGATTTGTAGTTCTTTGAAAAATTCAGGAACCTAATATTTGTAATGATGACTGATTGAAAGCATCTTTTGAATTCATAATGGTCTGGCTGCTTAAAAACAAACCCAACCCCTTTAAAGTGTTGTGCTGGTATTCTGGTATGCTAGTATTCTTTGAAAGCTTATGAAGCAAGGGATTTACAAGCATTCACAAAACTCGATTTCCTCCAGTATTGCTGGATTTGGTTTTCATTAACATGATGCCAAAAGAAAAAAAAAAATTATCAGGCATGCAGGACTCTTCTCTTAAAGAAAATTGAATTATTGGGGAGTTTTGGACCATCTTAATGCAAAGGAGCATTTTTACACTACTTAAGCATACAGTATTATTTTGTCCACCTTTTTCTCCAAAAGCACATGACCACACAAGTATGATTCCTTCAGTTTTGACCAACCAGACTGGTTTTTCTTGAAATATAGATAATGCCACGGTAACTGCAAAAGAAAACAAGTTGTGTTTTGTTAAAGCAAAGCCAGTATAAAGTGTTGGTTTAAGTGTGGAACAACTTCTTTAAAGCAAACAGAAAATGCAAACCAGCTTGAATTCTCAATTTTAATTAACTTTTGAAAGCTGGAGTATGTTTTCAAAGGGGCTCAGTTCTGAAATGCTGAATTTTTGAGCATAACACTTGTGATGCCTTGGAGAAGTTCACTTTGCACAGTGGCTCGTTTGAAAATCACAGGGCACATTTCACCCCTTTTGTAAAGACACGTCTGCATGTGCCTTTGTATTTAAATTAGCTGATCAGGTAGTAAGCCCTCTTGTATACGACTGAGTTTATAATTTTTAGTATTCCTCTGCTATCTGAGCTTGAAAGCTCAGTCTAACTCATACTGCACCGTGCAAAACAGTTCATATGAACATGCAGGACTTTTAGTGATGGGGGGAAAGTTCTATTTTTCAGACATCTCTCCATCGATCATTGCTTGGTGTGTACTATTAATTAAATTAGACTTACTTAAAGCCCATATAAAATATATTTCACTCTTCTTCTAAGTCTTAAGTGAGAATTACTAAAGTGTAGAACAATATGGTCCCTTTAATAGAGGTGGACTAAAAGTTGATAGTATTCAAATATGAGGGAAGACGTACATTTACCACATTTGAATTTGGCCTTGAAGACATCATTATTCTCCTGGGAAAAAATAAAATCATTTGTCAAATAGGAAAGAAATGTATCTGGCTTCAGCTTTTCTAGTTACAATTACATCTAGTTAAATACAAGTTTCTGCAGCTTGGGAGCCATGGGAGGCTTACTGAATCTGGCCCTGAATTTATCTTTCTCTTTTTCCCAACAGGAATCAATCCAACTACAGCTCTCAAGTTTTCCTAGCTTGCAAGAAGAAGATAAATATAATAAAGATGACTCCGAGAAAGAAAAAGAGAAGGAAAGAAATAAAGAAAAAGATAAAAACAGTGAAAAAAACAAGATCAGAATGTTATCAAAAGGTGAACTTAAAAATACTTATATTGCTGTAATTACTGCTGTAAAAAGGATGGTATGTTTCTATAAGCATGCATTTCTGTATTTGTTGTATGAATACACAGAAGAAGTGTTTCCATACAGTGAGATAATTCAGATCCTGGAATGTGCATGCATGAGCATTTTACATGCAAACATGGGGCTCGGAAAGTGAAGAAACCTTTCAAACTGAGGTTTGGTATTAGAGGCTATTAATTGTCTTTAATGTAAAATCATTCCTCTGCATACTTAACTGTGTTGGTATAAACACATAGATATGTAAATGTGATTGTATAATAAGGTAATGTATGTGTGATTCTATAAGGCAAGTGCAAGACTAATGCACTTTTTTCCCCATTGAGAACATATTAGCATGCCACTGGTGCAATGCAAGTAGAGTGTAATCTTCACTGTGGAGAAGATGGAGAATTTCTCTTAAATGCTGTAAAGAAATCCATTGGTGACACTTAATCTGCATTGCAATCTACTCTTATCACCTACTGAGACTTCTTCAGAGAAGATGTTTTATCTAAATTCGGTGTTTAAAAAAAACCCAAATCTCTTTATGAGCCCATGGTATAAAGGTGCAATGTAATCTCTCCAGAAATAATCATTGCTTACCTGGGTGTGGATCCGCAGCTGGTGTGAATTGCCAAATCCACTGGCTTCATTGAATCCAAATCCATTGGCTTCAATGGAGCTCTCGCAGTTCACACCAGCGTGAGGATCTGTGTTCCTTTGAGTCAGGTGATGGAGCAAGGCTGAAAAACTGATTCTGCCTACTGTCACACATCCCTCCTGCACTCCCACTCCCAGGCGTGACTGGATCTCAGCCTGTCAATGCAAATAAAATCCCTGCTGGCACAATGCCTCATTTGCCACGTGTACGGCATTTATTAAGTGATCCAAAGAGACACTGATGAATAAAAGGTTTGGTTTTTTTTTTTCTTATTTTATTAATTTTCTTTAGTAGTTTAAAGGAAGAACTTAGCAGAGTCTTGAGTGGCATTGAAGGTTTGCTGTGCTTTTCTGATGACCAGAGGTTTCTGTCGGTGTCTGGTTTTGGTGCTGTGTTCACGGTAAAGCAGCACAGAGGAAGTGTGAAAGTCCACCCAGTCCTTCCAAGCAAGGATCTTCTTTGGCTGAACTCCAAATGAACATTTTCTTTCCAAGTATATGCTCTCAGATTGTTGCTGGAAAATGGATTTTGATTTATAGCATGGCTTAATCATAACTACTGAGATGAAATAAATGAGGGGGGGTGTTTCTTTTTATCTTTCAGATTGCAGCCAAGAGTATACGGACTCAACAGGCATAGATTTGCATGAGTTTCTCATTAACACGTTGAAGAATAACCCCAGGTAGGTATTTTCTGCATTAGAGCTGGCAGTCCTGAAATTATAGCTGGCAGTCTTAGAGTTCCCGTAACTGTATGCCTTGTTTTATTAGTTCTGGAGATGGTTATGAAAGAAAACGTAAAGGAGGTAGGCTGTTAACTAAGCAAAAAGCTATAAAAAGTCATCAGCTCCCCCTCCCCAGTCCAGTCACCTATTGCTTCGCTTCACTTTCAGCAACATCTGGTCTTTGTCCTTACCTCCTTGCTTATAGCTCTGTGTGATGTTAGTAGGAACATATTATAGCCATTGCAGTGGGAGATTTGTATATAAATATAAAGTAGCTTTCTTCTGGCAGTGCTGTACACAACTATATTCCCGTGCACACTGCCAGTTCCTGTTCTTGGTATTCTTGTGGTTTCCATTTGGAGCAACAAGCTTATCTTGTGCTTAAATTTGTCTCTAAATGTCTTAAGGAAGGACATCTCTGGTTTTATATGTTGTGATTTTTTTTTTTTCAACATTCATTTCAACTGAACCTGTCAAATAGGTACCACGTACTTCTGCAGTGATAGGAGAGCTGAGGACATCTGGGTACCTAACAGCTTGCATAACCTCTTGTAGAGATGATGGAAGGTCCTCAAATAGGTTTATGTGCACAAAATGAGACCATTCAGAGCAACTAAGGAGTGATGGACTCTGTCAAGCTTAGGAAAAAATGTGTGTATGGAAATTTTTGTATGTTTTTGGCAGGAAAGAAGGAAGAAAAGGCACATCTGAGCCCTTCCAGTTGAAATCAGAGCATTTTGACTGAGCAATGCTGCAGCATTGCCTCGTGGGAAGCCAAAGTCCGAAGGTGTTCTGCATTGTGCTCTTTATCTAGGTTAGGTATGCCCAGTCTTTGCAGGTCAATGCCTTCTGGAAATGTCTCAGACAAAATGTTGGAGGTTTCTGTGGGTAGCAGCTCCTCTCATGAAGATGAGCTGGAAACCTCCAGCAAAAATAAAAGGTGCAAAAGGAGCAAAGCTATCCATAGCAGTCAGAGTCTTTCTATGCAGTAGTGCATTGCTCACAGCCTGGTGTGGCTGGAAGCACTCTCGGACCATACCTGAGCTTAAGAAGGATCTAAATTGGTCACGACTGTCAGCAGAGCAGGCAGAGACCTTCTCCAGATGTGCCAGGGCAAAGCATCTTTCACTTGTCATCAAGATGGCTGGCAGCACTTGTGAAGCTGCCTTGTGAACATTGATATATTCATTTTATCATCTGAAATGTCTATTGGTAGTTGATGCTACAAATCCTTGCTTTTCTTTTTGACAGGGACAGAATGATTCTCTTGAAAATGGAACAGGAAATTATTGATTTTATTAGTGACAACAAGTAAGTTGACTTTCCACACTTGGTTCTGAAGTCGCATGTGTGGACCACATTAGGCTTTTATTTCCTGGTACTGCTTAAAACACAGCAGATACCTTTTGCTTTTCATGATGTTCTAATTGCACTGGGCCTGCTTTTTTGGGTCCAAAACCATAACTGAAGCTTGCAGTGCAGAGGATGGTCACATACACTGCCTCATGGGTTTCCTTGTGTGCGTGTTATTCTAAATCCCTGTAAAATAAAACCGAACTTGGGTGGAGGGTTGTTTCCTACCACCTGCTCTGTATAATGAAATGTTTCTGCAGCTTTAGAAAACAGAGTGTCAGAACAGTAGCAGAGGAGAAGTTACGCTGGTGGGAAATTAGCGTTTTTGTCAATAAGAGAGGAAAGAGGAGTGTTTGCCAAGGTAGACATCTTCAGCATCGCCCTGCATCTGCCCTCTGGGAGAAGGGCAGAGAGCTGCTGCCAGTGGCTCTCAAATCTGCAGCACTGTTTGTGCGGTGGGTGCGTGGGGTCAGGAGACGAGCTCTTCCCAATAGGCAGGACACTGGCGATACCACGGAGCGTGAGCTTTGTCCCGGTGCAGCACATGGAAATGTCCTTATTAGACACTCAAAAAATAATGCCTTTTTTCTTCTGCCTTTTTGCAGCAAATGCTCAGACGTAAATGCACAAAGGACAAGTTTTCAGTTAGATTTCTGTCCACAGAACTATTGAGTGTGTTGCTCTTCTCATTTAATTATAGCTCAGGGGGGATGTCATTGTCAATGTCGTTATCAATGTGATTTGGTTTGGGTTTGGTTTTTTTTTTTTTCCAGTAATCACTATAAAAAGTTCCCTCAGATGTCATCATACCAGAGGATGCTGGTGCACAGAGTGGCAGCTTACTTTGGGATGGATCACAATGTGGATCAGACTGGGAAATCTGTAATTATCAACAAGACCAGCAATACCAGAATGTAAGTAGCAGCAGTTGTTTTAATTTGTTCCCTTTCACAAGAGCTGGTTTGTACCATGACTGTGTGGCATTTGTTTTACCATTATTTGAATTATTGATTTCTGTAGCAAGAGGAGTGCTGTTTATTGCTTTCTAGGATGGGAGGGGATGGCAGGGCTCACACTGTGAGATTATTTAAGGATATAAAGGTGCAAAAGGGGAAATCAACCCAGTTTGTCTCTCACAAGAAATTTAGCACAGTACCTTGGACTGTAGCTTTCCCTGACACCTCAGTACCACTGCTAGGCTACAGAAACGAGCTCGTTGCTTTACATGTCACCTGATAACATATGGCTATATTCCTAAATACACCAAATATATTTGGAAGGTTGTCCCTTCCCTTGTTCTGGCTCTCCCCGCTTCAAGAGTAATTTTCTGCCCACCCTGCTTATTTAGGATTTGGGTCCCCTCCGCCACCTGCCTCCATTCATTCCCTTTTTCTCCTCTTCTCCCCTCCCGGTTCCACTTTATTTTCTCTTCAAACATCATTGTTTGACCACAGAGTTGTTGTGGGATACAAATTCCTTCTGATGGTTCAAAGGCATTGCAGAATTCCTGGCAGGCTCACTTGTGCTGGCACGCTTTGTGCTCTCCTCCATGAACCTGTAGCAAGCTAGCAAAAGCTCCATACCAAGTTCCCTGGCTAATTCAGCAAAGATGCAGTTGTGTGTCCTTGTCTAACCAGCATCACTTCTGCCAAGTGCCACATGTGTATGAACCGTCATGGAACCGGAGTAGTCTTCTCCCTCTTTACCTATAAACTACAGAATGAAGAGGAAATAATTACAACTGGGTAACGAAGTTTTGGTATCTTGCATTGGAACAGGAAAAGCCCCATTTGAAAATTGTCTGCTTCCTGTATTCAGTTAGGAGGAGAAATAAAACCATTTCTTTCATTTACATATCCAGTAGTTAGCGGGTTACTTAGATGCTGTTGCAGAAAGTATTTTTTTAGATGGTCTTGGCCTCTCCTGTAAAAGTCTGGAGGCACTAACTAATACTGCAGGACCAAGCCCTGAGCCAAACGCATTGGTACTTGTTCTTTCACTGAGTCCTGAAAATGTTCCATGTGTGTTAAGCAAATTTTAGATCATGGGCAGTTTATTTTAGACCCTTTTCATGGGCTCTCCCTGAGAAATGACACTTGGACTTTAATGTTTCTAAAGGTTCGAATAAAGTGTGCACCAACAGCGTGAGTTTCAGATGTCAAGAGAATTACAGTAGTTTGATAAAACTGATGACACTTGGACTTTAATGTTTCTAAAGGTTTGAATAAAGTGTGCACCAACAGTGTGAGTTTCAGATGTCAAGAGAATTTACAGTAGTTTGATAAAACTAACACTCAGGCTGCTAAGGCTTAGCCTCAGGGTCTGGGGATACCTGCCCCTGGGCAAGGGCTGTGTTTGGGTATGAATAAGAAAAAGCTGGGTATGCAGCGAACCGTGTTCAGTTTTGAGCTGTAAATGAGGGAAAAACCCCAAACATTTCCTCTTAAAAAATACACAATCATATTTGAATGCTTTTTAGGCATTCCTCTCTACAGTCTTCCCTTTTCCCTTCACATCTATCACCTCTGTAGTGCCCCAACTGCTACAGATCCTTCCTCGCAGCATTGCCTTCTCCTGGTTGACTTGATAATGTGATAATATGACGTTGGTATCTGATAACGCCTCTCTGGGTTGTGTGGCTGTGCACCACAGAGATGGGTAGTGCTGGAAGCGCTGCTTGAAATGCTTGTGTGGTGCTTCTGGAGAGGACCCTGAAGTTGTTTTCAACAGTCAAAACTATCTCTGAGTGTTGTAGTGCCACTGGGGCTGCTTGTGTGGTGGGGATGAGCAAGCAAGGCTCTTTACCAGGCATGACCTGGCAAACTCAGCAGGCAGGACATTGCAGGGGTATAATGGATCAAATGACCCTTTCAGCTGTGATCTTGCAAGCTGGAGGTGAGGCACGGAGCCAGACAATTGATTGTGACACCATTCCTGAGTAGACCTTCCAGAAATAAGTGCAGGGCTTTGCCCCTTTGTTGACTGTGATTACAGCTGTTTGCAAGCAGCACACAAACTGCAGTGTTCTTCCCCGTCTGCAGTGATTTGGTGGTAGGTAACTGGATTATGTGAAGCTTGTATTGCAACGTGGTGCTTCCAGTCTGTTATTTATGGTATTTTGATACTACTGTAAAACAAAGCTTTGTAGGAGTAGCTCTTTCTTTTCATAACCGGAGGAGATGGCATGTTTTTTTAAACATGGCTCTGACATAAAATAGATTGTTATTATCCAGCTTGAATAAGAGCTGATGAGATTTCATTATCTGCAGCAAACATTGTGCAAGTTCTACATCTGGAAGTGGCCGGTGGGATTTCGTGTGTTGTGCATTTCAGTACTCACAGGGCCAATTTTGTGGGTTCAGAATCAACACCAAATCCTGGGAATGTGTTGACTCTATTAATTACTGCTTGGGCAGTACCCAGAATACCAGAGGATCTGGAGAGCTGCTGAAACGTTGTTCGAGGTGGTCACGCTGTGCTGCAAGCCCTGGTAGTTTGATGTGAATTTATGGAGAGGCTCCATAGACAGATGTCCTGAAGATCTGCATTTTGACAAGAAGTTTTCTCTTTATGACATATGGTTTCCGAAGTACTTTAGTCGTGTGCTCTGGAGAGGCAAGAATATTCTTCCATATTCAAGAATTCATAAAGCCTGATAGGATGGGACTTCTCTGTGTGTGTGTCTGTTTGGGAAGAGCATATGACTCTGTGGAGTCACCGTGTGGGTTGAATAAGCAGCATATGTGGTCTTATTTCTCTGGCTGAGTGAGGGTTCGTGTCACACCGCTGCTGACACTTGCGGACCATGGGTTGTTCCCTGGCTCCAGGCAATGAGGTGCATGTATTCTGTTCAGCACAGACCTCCCATGCTTGCTGCCTGCAGGTGCAAGTGTCAGAAGAGTGAACAGCTTTGAGATGCATGGGAAGATTTGGTAATGCTACCTTCGAGGTGCAGTGGGCTCTGTCAAACAGGGCGCGAGAGCGTTTCATTTCGTTCATCACTTTGCCATCCTAGGGCGATGTATATTCACTTCTATATACCTGTGCCTATCAAGTGCCTGCTTTTCAGGGGGTTGGTACTGGAGAAAGGGCTTATTGAAGAGGTTGCAGCTGGAAGGAGGGCTGTGGCTTGTCTGACCATCCATGCTGCTTTACAGAGCGGGGTAGGTGAGGGTAAAACTGCATCAGGACCTGAATGTTTCTGGGACTGCAACCCTGCAGCTTCTGTGAACTCTCAGTGAAGTTTCTTAACAATCCTGTCAGACCACAATGGCAATTTAGGCATCTGAAGAGTATTGATCAGCTTAAGCTAAGGTGCCTTTTTAACCTTGTTGGAATGTGAACAGGTCGTACTATTTTTTAAGCTTTTTTATAAATGAAATTTTAAAGCACAGAGATGACTTCACTGCCCGAATGTTTGTTAACCTTCATAAAGTGAAGTCTCTGCACTCTTTCTCATTCCAGAATGGTAGATTTTGAAAACAAATTATCTTTCTGTGTGATTTTTGAAATTAAGGCTAAGTTAAAGAAAAAGAACTTAAATATAATTTTCTGTGGTCTTGTATTGTTGTCCAACTTTTGAAATCTTCTCAGCAGTATACATGAGAGAAGCTCATCAGAAGATGAGAGAGGATTCTTTTTGTTGTTGTTGCTTTGGGTTTATAGTCAAAGAGCTCAAATACACCTTAAAATGGGACGTCTGCTTGGTTCAGCATGAAACTGCTCTTGTGTCACCATTGTAACGTATATTTGCCTGTCACCTGTGTCTGCCTGTCATCTATCTAAAGATACACAGAAATGCACAGGGAATTTAAGACAGTGAAATATGATCTAGACAGAAGCTTGGAATTGAGGCAATACGTTAGATGGGGCATCCCAAACTGGAGCCTATCAATTCCTATGAAACAGCTCAAAGTACTTCAGAGTTTTTTGCAGAACTGTTCATATTCACATTATTCTGTATATGGGTTCAATCGGATTCATTCATCTCATTATCTGTAGATAGGTGGAGAAATACAGGGGAAGTGTGTTTGGTGTGCTTGGTAAATGGAAAGGGTTTTCATTTAGTTGAGATCATCAACCATGTGACAAGTGTGTCTGTACCACAGCCCACGTGTGCATTCATGTACATTTTTATATCAGCGTGAGTGACAGGGCTCATCAGAACTGAGAAGGTGGAGTGGTGGAGTGCTGATGATACATAATGGTTGTAGTTAGACATTTGCATACATTCTGAGGGTGTAACACACCTATTATGAACTTTATACTCATCTTCAGTTATGACTAATTTTTCTACAGGAGCATCGTGGGTTATGATCCTTGTAATCATAGAATCATAGAATAGTTAGGGTTGGAAAGGACTGTTAATATGTAAATGTTAATATAATACTGGACCAGTCAGAAGGTTGGTGCCATCGATACATATCCAGAACTTTTGGCAGTACTCAGATGGGATATGTATTACAGGGGTTCCTTATAAGCTATAACTGTATCAGCAGAAGGAGACATAATGTGCAGTATATCCTTTGGATAACCTACCAGACCTTCATAGTTATGACATAGAAGCTGTATTATTCTTTCTTCTCTGTGGAAGGGTGGTTTGAAACGCAAGCAGAATTCTCTGTGAGAGGATTTCCTTGAGATGCCAAATGTTACAGCCTTTGGAGCATGCAGAAGAGTATGCCTTTCCCCTTGACTGGATCAGGTACCCCGTGTCAATTCAGTTTCTTTAAGAGGTTGTTTGCTGATGGGAAAGATGGGACATTTTCCACACACAAGTTGTAATGGGTCTTTTTTAGCTGGGTATATGGTGGTGGTTACAACTGCACACCTGAACGCATGTATCTCCTGTAAAATCTCAGTCAAAACAATTCCATGTTTGCCAGAGTGTTTGAAGCACATTTTTGGGTCCCTC